CAAAGCCTTGTTTCTGAGGTTAGACCCAAAGCCTTGTTTCTGAGGTTAGACCCAAGGCCTTGTTTCCGAGGTTAGACCCAAGGCCTTGTTTCTGAGGTTAGACCCAAGGGCTTGTTTCTGAGGTTAGACCCAAGGCCTTATTTCCAAGGTTAGACCCAAGGGCTTGTTTCTGAGGTTAGACCCAAGGCCTTATTTCCGAGGTTAGACTCAAGGTCTTGTTTCTGAGGTTAGACCTGAGGCCTTGTTTCTGAAGTTAGACCCAAGGCTTTCACACTGGCAGTTATAGGTAAGTGGCGACTTGGATAGAGCGGCTGCAGCCAGCCTGCCAGCCTGTGTAATGCCCCTTTTGGGTTAAATTGGATTAAAAGTTTCTTACCTTGAATGTGTTTGCTTTGATGCCTTTACTTTTGAGCTTGTTGTGTCTGGCATTAAACAAAGTCAGCTTAGACGGCAGGGCTGGGAGCTTGAGCAGCCGGTTCTCTGCCAACGTGAGCTCCTCCAGCAGGGAGAGCCTGGAGAAGGCCCCGTCCTCTATGTCCTCTATCAGGTTTCCGGTGAAATCGAGTCTTCGTAAGTTAGCTTGAGGGAAAGAACACAAAAATATTAAAATGTCACATTTTATTTCATCGTAACCAGGCACTGTTTCATCACAGTTTAAAAGCATAGGCATAGAAGGCCTTGGCAGCCACATTGTTCAGGCCCCTCGTTATGAGATGGAGCCAATAAGATGAATCAAGCACCAATTCATTGTCACCTTCTGTGGCTCAGTGTGGTGCTCCCATCATGTGGAAACTAAGTCACAAAAAATGAACCGCAGAGTTGTGATAGGTCAGATTCCTGCTAACGGCCCAGGCCTGGGGAGACAAGACGGGAGGGAGCAACACACGTCTGATGCCAAGTAGGATTGACAGGGGAGGAGAGAATCATAGGCCCATTCTAGAATTCAAGGAAGGAGAACTCCCTTTGCTCTGCAGAGTCCACAGCCCCAAAGCTGAGCCTGTGATGTTACAGTCAGTAGGGATCTCATTTCAGCCTCGGGGATAGACTACCCAGCATAGGGAGATGGCATTTCAGATTTGGGAACTAGCCAGTGGCCCCATCTGGCCAGAATGTTGAGTGTGTAGAGAGATGGGGTTGGAATAAGGCCACAGCTTCACTGGAGGGTTTGGCTGAAGCCAGATGGCAGAGGGCTTTAAACATTGGCTGCGGACGTTGGCGTTTTGTCCTCGAGGAAGGAAGGAAGGAGTGAAGGCTTGTGAGGAGGGATGTGACAGGGCTAGATTGTATACAGGGGGATTGGAGAAGGGACAGCCTGAGGACAGGGATGTCTGGTCAGGAGGGTGTGGGTATAATCTGAGAAAGAAGCCGGGAAGTCTTGAACCAAGATGCTGCCCCACTTATGAGCAGAGAGGAAAGGGGGGGCCAAGCACCCCAGAAAGTTTGAGTGGACCACCTGCTCCATGTAGGGCAGCAGCAGGGTGGGCAGCCCAGGGAGCTACAGGGATCCTGGCACCCCCAGGAGTAAGGAGGGCAGCGTCCTCCCGCAGACTTGGGGCGAACTTGAGCTTGCTCAGGACACGCGTCCTGGGAGCCACCGTTTGAAGGGGTTTGAGTGTGTGTCACCGTGGCATGAATGAAGGACAGTGAAGGGCAGAGAGGGCTTAACTTTGAAGGGTGAAGCCCAAATGGCCCTCCAGAACCTGGCTGTCTTCACAGGGCATTGGGGGAGTTAAATAAGAACACCAGTGTTTCTCGGGGTGGACTGGTTTGGTTCTGAGGGTCTGAATAGAGGACAGAGAAGGGGGCACAAAAGAAAGGATACCCTAGCATAGAAAGGAGGAAGAAGGCGCAGGAACTTGGGGTTCCTTCATTATTTCTTCTAACACAATCAGTGAACATTCATTAGACCCTTGCTATGTGCCCAGGCACTGTCCTAAGTGCTGAAGAGACAAAAAGAGGCAAAGGACAGTCCCTGTCCTCAAGGAGCTTATAATCTAATGACACGTTAGGCAGGTCGAATTTTTTATATTCTTTTAAAAAGCCAACCAAGAGGGCAGTAGAGACTCGCAGCCTCATATAGAATCTTCTTTTTGTGTTTGTGTGTGTGTGTGTGTGTGTGTGTGTGTGGGCGCATGCGTGCTCCCAGATAGGCTCATACATACCCCTTTGGGGGTGCTTAAATTCATAATTAAAAGAAACTTAATTAACTTACGAATATCTGCAACGTCTTTGGCCATAATCTTCTTGATCTTGTTGAATCGGGCATAAAGGTAGGACGTCTCCTTGGGCAAGGGGGGCACGGCGTCGATGTCGGTCTCCTCGCAGTACACCGAGCCGCTGAGACAGACGCACAAGAGGCAGGTCGGCATTTCTAAGGGGCGACAGGACTAGTGAGCATGGGAGGCTTCCCCAAGGCTGCGTGCGCCCTAAAGGCCTTCTTCTGTCTCTGCTTCTTTCAGCAGCCCAGCACCAGCCAGCCCTGTCTTGCCCCTTCCCAGACTCTGGTTTCTGCATTCAAACCGCTCTTTTTCAGGTGAATTTCTTTGGCTTCTGAAAACGTCATCTTATGAGGCACACACATGAACACACACACACATGTAAACATGCACATACACAACAGCTGAATGACTGAATGGAGAACCCTCTCCAGAACATATTAGAACTTAGAGTGGCCTTTTAAAAGCAGTGATTAATTAACCTTGGAAACAGGGTCAACAGAAGCAGCGTCTATTCATTTCAGATTCAAGTAAGCGTTTGGCGAAGTAGAGCGTCTGAGCTGGGGGCCGCAGCTCTGTAAGCAGACTGAGGTTGTTGGACAGTGTCTGACATGGATCATCTAATCATCTCTCTATGGCTTATCACATGTTGGGTGTGTGTGTGTGTGTGTGTGTGCGCGCGCGCACGTGTGCCTGGGCCCAACCGCCACTCTTGTGGGCCTCCTTTTCACCTGGAGGAATCTCCTTCCCTGGTGCATCGGCTTTATCTATCTGTCAGTCAATCAATCAGCAGGTGTTTTAAGCATGTCCTCTGCACCAGGCCCTGTGCTAAAGTGCTCTCCCTGCCCTTACTTTCTGGGGAGGGAGCTGGGGGGAGGGACCATATCCATGTACAGGTATAGGCAAAGCGGCTTTGCTTCCCCTTTGGAATGGATCTCCATTGGCTGCTTTGGTCACTTTATCTTGCAGTACCTTTTGGAAATACAGTCAAACAAGACCCAAGCCCAACATGAATCCTTACCGCCATCTTCGTTTTTTGCTGGTGGTACCGTTGCACTTTCATCTTTTTGTAAGGCATGTAGAATTGCCATAGTATCTTTTTTCTGTTAGAAAAATAAAGATGATCAGTTACTTTATTTAGCCGAAAAGCAAACCCAATAGAGCCCGGTATGATGGGGGCTTTGGGTTGGGATGGGCACGGTGTGCTAAGTGGGCTGTTTTCTGCATTGTTTGGGAAGCCATGGCTTGGGGTTGAGCCCATATCGGGCTGTATTAGAATGAATGGGGCTCTGTCAGAGGGATAACGCAATGCAATTACTTCTTTTTTTTTTTAATCATGCAAAACATAATTCCATATTAGTCATACTGTGAAAGAAAAAACACATCAAAACAACAACAACAGAAAAGAATGTGAAGGGGGCAGCTAGGTGGCGCAGTAGATGGAGCACCGGTCCTGAAGTCAGGAGGACCTGAGGTCAAATCCAGCCTCAGACCAAACACTTGACACTTACTAGCTGTGTGACCTTGGGCAAGTCACTTAACCCCAACTGCCTAAGCAAAAAAAAAAAAAAAGAAATTCATCAGAAAAGAATGTGAAAAATAGCATGCTTTGATCTTCGTTCGGATTCTAGGTGGACAGCATTTTTTATCACGCGTCCTTTGGAGTTGTCTTGGGTCATTGTATTGCTGACTATAGTCAAGTCATCCACAGCTGACCATCAGACAATGTGGCTGGTACTGTGGACCGAGTTCTCCTGGCTCTGCTCCCTTCACTTGATACAGTTACTTCTACCACAACTTGGTGCAGCCTGTCTGTGACTCTGGCTTGGGGTCAGTGCCACGAGATCCCGGTAGAGGAGAACCCCCAGCCTGCCTCTAGGCCGCCCCATTTCAGGGGGCTTGAGGCACCCCCTCCATGACTAGAGAGGCAGGGAGGTTATGCACAGACAAGAGTGAGGAAGAATGAAATGGACCTTTGGTTCTGGTTCTCAGCAGAAGCAGATGACCCAAATGGGTCCAGTTGGCTGAACTCCTGGGATGACGTAAGGGCAGGCAGCTCCATCATGAGGGCTGCAGCAGTCACCTGGCCCAGGAAGAGTCCCCACCAGTCAATCCATTAATCTGCGATTGCGTGTGGAGAGCCTGCTGTGTTTTGGGAGCCGTGCTAAGGATGGGAATATAAAAGTGGAGCAGCCTGGGCCTCAGGGAGCTTACCTTCTAGCAGGATGATGCAATACCCTTGGAGGAGTGGGGGTCAGAAAAGGGAGCTTGGTGGAGGCAGTCACAGGACCCAGGATGCATGCCCCGAGGTTCTGGGCCCACCTGGACCTGGGGGCTTCAGAGGAGATTGACTGACCCTCCTAATCTGGGCAGTGCCCAAACTGGGAGGATCACCTCACCTCCATGTGGGAGAAGAGACGGGTCTTACACTACCTCCCCTCCTCAGAGAACCTCTGAGAGTGTCTGGTGCTCCGGCCCCTCCTCAAATGCTGGGCATGCCTCAGTGGGCCTGCCACCTCCTCTTCCAGGGATGCAGATTGCAGCCCGTCCAGGCCTGCCCAGGCTGTGGACTTTTGTCCGGGTTCTCCCATAGGTTTGACATTTTGTGGAAGACCTTCTTCAGTTTCTCCCGACAGCCTCCTGCCAGGGGAGCCTTCTGTCTGCTGCCCACCTGCCAGCCCTCCCCACATGATCTGTTCCTATCTCCGGTGCCATCTCTTACTCTGAAAAAAAACATTTATTAAGCACTTAGTGTGTGCAAAGCCCTGGGAACACAGACAGAAAGTGAGTCCGGCCCTGCTCTCGCAGGGCTCCCCCTCCCATAGTGGAGACAGCACCCAGGGAAGGTCTCAGCTGCAGCCAGAGGAAAAGGTCCTGAGGGCACCACAGCAGAGCAGATGGTCAGGCCTCTTCTTTCATGTCGTTTCCACTGATAAAATCCCGTTGGTTCCTGATGAAGAGTCATTGGCAGGCCAAGGACTTGGGTGGCAAGAAGCCTCTCATCTGGGTCGTCAGTTGCTGTGGCAGGCTCACGCAGAGGAGCGGTGTCCAGGCTGCATCTCCACAGGGGCCGCTTCTCGAGATGATGGCCTTTTGCATTGTTGCCCCCGGGGCTCCTGGGCTCAGGCCCTTCCCAGGGTCTGAGGAGAGAGGGGGATTTGATTTGTGTGACCCAGACTGCCTCCTGTCCTCTCTCTCTGAGAAGGGAAGGTATTGACATCTGGGGGAATGGGAAAGGCCTCCTGGAACAGGTAAGATTTGACCCAGTCTTCAAGGAAGGTAGGGGCACACTGGGGCCCGCCGGCTGCCTCGGTCTGGCCGGATTGCTTGCTGGGGGAGTGCCTTAGCTCGGTTCTCCATGGCCTTTGAGGGCCCTCGCTTCTCCTCTGCTCTACCCTGCTTACACCCCCGTGGGCCTCCCCACGGGCCTCTGGGAGATGCTCGTCCTAGCACTTTGAAGACCGCTGTTTTCCCTGCCTCACCATCATGCTGGTAGCATATCGGTCCTTCAAAGACTGGCCTCCATTTCTTCCTTCTGCGCAGTCCTGGGCTCGCCGCCCTCTTGTGCCGCCTGTCCCAGATGGACACGAGCCCTCTGCTGGCCAGTCTGTTCTCCTCTCTGATGACAGCAGTAGGGGTCATCCTGTACATCTGTGTTTTAAAGGCAATTCCTGTTCACACCCACTAACCTTGGCAGGTGGTTAGGAGCTCATATTGACCTCACATTTCACCAATGTCACATTGACCTCTCTGGGCCCTTCACCTGGGCTGGCTTGTCAGTAGTCAATAAACACTGATTACAACTGGGTGGTTCAGTGGTTAGAGCACCGGGCCTGGAGTCAGGAAGACCTGAGTTCAAATCCAGCCTCAGACTCTTACTAGCTATGTCATCCTAGACAAGTCGCTTCGCTTCTGTTTTTCTTAATCCACGGGAGAAGGAAATGGGGACCCACTCCAGTATTTTTGACAAGAAAATCCCTTGGGCAGCATTGGCAAGCTGTGGTCCATGGGGACCGGAAGAGTCAGACATGACTGAATAATAACAGCACAGTCCCTTTCGAGGCAGCTCTAAGCCATGGCTTCAGAACTGGCCTGCTGACCCCCTGAAGAAGCCAGCTGGCCGTCCAGGGGATTTGTTGTTTCCTTTTCAAGAATGGAGGCATGGCCAGTGATCCCTAGCCTGGGGCCATGGAGGGTCCAGAGCACTGGCCTGGGACGTACTCCTCTCGACCATCGTTCTAATTAAATAACATCAACAGCGATCAAGATGTCACCCCTGTGACAGTGGTGGGGACCTCCTCACTTTCCCCTGGACCGTTGGGGTCGCCCCCTTTTCGGTCTCCGTTCCACAAAGCTCCGGTGCATCTTCCCTCCACCCAGATGCCAGAACACGGGTCTCTCCCTGCTCAGTAAACTCCAAGGTTTCCCGTTATTTTTCAGGTCGGAGTCAGACTGCTCTGTTCACAACCCGGCCACATTCAATGTTCAGCCCTCTGGCCACGTTCCTCAGGCCTGGCGCTCCCTCTTCTGCCTGTGCACTGACTGTGCCCCGTGGCTGATTGCGCCTCTTAGAATCCTTCATTTCTGCCGAGGTTCAGCTGGTGTCTCACCCACGTGAAGCCCTTTCCCCTTCCGTCACCTCAGCTGCTAGTGCCTTCCCCCCGCAAAAGGAGTTTGTGTTTATTTTGTCCGTGGCTTACAGAGCGATGTTCATACTGTCTCAGCCGCTAGAATGGAAGCTCCTTGAGGGCAGGGGCAGTTTCATTTTTGTCTTTGTATACCCAGGGCCCGGCACACAGTAGGTGCCTAGGACAAACATGGTGCTTGCCTGGGCCACAACAACAGTACCTCACATTTATGTCCCCCTTTAAGGTTTCTGTGATGCTTTCGTTTGATTGTGTCACCTGCTCTGACAGCGTGCGCCTCAGCCTTGCAGAGGAGGGTGTGCTTGGTGTGACAGTAGACTCATCACCTGACACGTCAGTCAGTCAGTTCACAAGCATTTGAAAAGTCCTGTGGCTAGAGCCAGGGGCACAACATTGCTGAAGAGTAAGCGTGAAGCCCTGTGAGCTGGATGAGCCTGCCTCAACAAATAGAAGGAAATACAAATGGAGGGAATTCTATCGTATGTAAGGCAAGACGGGCCTTTGTAAGTGGGAGTTTGGACTAGTTGCTCCCTGAGGCCCCACATAGTCTCCCATTCAGGGATTCCCTTTTATTTTTCTTATATTAAATCAAGACCCAAATAAAATCCGTGTAGATGAAGGGCTTCTCCCTGAAATGGTCCCTACGTCTTAATTGAAGCCCCTTCCCCCTGGCCAGCATCTGGCCTCACAGGCCAGACAACGGGAACTTGCTGGGTCGGCCTTGCAGAGCTGCCCAACTCAGGGCGAGGGGCCCTTTTTGGGTCACCAGGATCGCTTGTCAGGGGATCAGAATTCTCGCATGAATAGCAGTGGGGTCCAAGGGATTTTGGTACAGCATTAGCTTTCTTTCCCTTAGTCAGTACTCATGTCTGGGGGGGCCAAGACCCCAGAGTAACACATAGCTCAGGAGGGAGAGACCAGAAGGTTTGCCCTGTGCCCCCTGCCCAGCCCCCAATCTAAGAAGTTGCTGACCGTTTCCTTATTATGTAAATGGTCTCATGGGGAGTGATTTACAAGTATGTCCAAAATAAATATTTCTTGTACTTTCTGGTTCTGTTGTCGTATTTGAATCACCCTGGAATAACTGTCCCTGAGAGGGCTCCTCCTCTTTCCCCAGTCTGGCTGGTGTTGGGCTGTAGCCCTAACCCTAACACCTGAGGAAGTGACAGGTGCCAGCAGGTGCCACAGAGCACCCACAAAGTACATCTGCTGCACTTCACTTTACCTAAGACTCCCCCATTCCTCGGGAATTCTTACATCACAGTTGCTCAATCTGGTGATTATGGACAGTTCTCACTTTAAATGCTCCTGGGAATCTACTTTGTGACAGTTATGATGCATGATTTTTTAAATCATTTAAATGGCATTCTCTTTTGTGCATGTTAGTAAATGTTGTCAAGGGCAAACACGGGCAGTCTGTTGGTTGTAGAATAACAGAAATGCGCTACCTTCGTAGTTTTCTCGTCCTGTGGGGGCTCCTCATAATCCCATATTTCTTCCAAAGTCTCTGTCCTGGAGCTCTGTGGAGTGGGTGGGGCCGGCTTTACCCACGGCACCAAGAGAACCCAGAGCAATGCGGCCTGCAGGGTCTTCATGGCAGCCCAGACCACGGTGCTCAAGTGGGAGTCACTGAGGAGGACGAGGACGGTGGGTTCCTGTTCCCTCTCGTTGTCCCTGAGAGCCGAGAGAGAGACAGAGACAGAGAGACAGAGAGAGACAGCGGTCAGGCAGCCGCACATCCCAGAGGCCGGCAAGGGCCATGGAGCCAGCAGCAGGCGGTTAACCCAGCCTGTCCTCATGTTCATTCATTGTTGGTCATCCGAATGCAAGAAACCTGGGAACATTCTGCTGGCCACTTTCAGGTGACGAGTTCCCTTCTCTCTCATTGAAGAATCCTAAACCGCACTAGTTGTTTACTTCTTGTTCATGGTCAGATTGTGTTGACGTGGTTATCACACAACTGACATTTCTCTATTTGTATTGTGAATATTTAAAGCTAAAAAGGAGCCGTGAGCCCCGCGCGAAGGTTTGGCTGAAGTAGAAACATGACCCCTTACCAGGGAAGTCGACAGCCAATTTGTGCTTTTAAGATAAACACAAGAACGATTTATTCACTGGGCTTATTTTTAAAAGCTCCAAATCCTTTGTGTTTGTCTTCACTTTGTGGGGTGGCTTCAGATAAAATGCGTCCTCCTCTGCCTCGGACCCCCTTTCAGAGTGAGGTTGTTTGATCTAAGCCACTTTTGCAGCAGTGAGTGGACGAGGGAGTTGTTCAGGGCAGACACTTCCCAGCCATCCTAAGGAGAGCTCAGCAGCATTTGAAGTGGGAGGCTGGGGGTGGGGGGGGGGGGTAATTTAAGGATTAGGCAGTCTGTTAAGGTGCTTGCCTCTGCGGGATTTGCTCCAAACTCCCTCTGCCTCCAGTGACAAATACAGTAAAATGACTGCTTTTGCAGCACCTTGTACCTAATGTCATGAATGTGAAATTGGACAATGCTCAAAAATATTCCCTCAGTATTTACTTTTAAAGTTAATGGAAACCTCATTAAAAGCTGGCTTCTACCTGGGTTAAAACAATTAAAAATGACCCACATAGCAACATGCAGTATTGAGAATAGCTTTGAAAAAGAGAGCCTACCGTGTCCGTGGTCCTCAAGTGTTTGTGGTTTTCTTCGGCAGACACTCGTGTGTGTGTGTGTGTGTGTGTGTGTGTGTGTGTGTGTGTGTGTGTGTGCTTGCGCGCGCCTGAGCCCACAGTGGGAGGGCGCAGGCAGCGGGGGAGGCTGCAGAGTGTTTCAGGATCTCTGGCGGTCTGGGGGCCGGCGGCTTTAAAAGCCCTTTCCATGGGGGAGACAGCCTTGCCAACATTCCTTCTCTTGTTGGGCGAGAGCCGGCTGGGAACATTCCTGAAAAGAGGTGAATTAGACCAGCTCCAAGGACTGTTCCCTCGAGATCCCCCCGCCCAGTGAGCTTGTTGGTGCGCGACTCTTGGGTGTACGATGAATTGTTTGTCTTAGTGGACATTAGTTTATTAAGATGGCCGAGATACTCAGTCATCTGACCCTTTTCCTATGAGACGCCCCATCTGCTTTCTGAATTAACTTGCCCTCCAAGATCAGGCATATGTGTTCGATTAATATACCTCTAGAGGAGTTCATATTTTAAAAAGTCTTAGCGGGAATGGCTTCATTGTTGGATCTGTTAGAGGTTTTCCTATTGCTTCCTGATGCAGTTTTATGTGTGATCTCTGTCCCCACATACATCTGTGACCGATCCGAGGCTGGACGGATCTGCTCCCGCCTCAGGCTCGGCTGTTTTCAGGAAAGCCTGAATGTGAGTCGACTCACAGTGGAGATCTGTTTTTCACTCTGTGCTCAGGTGTCCTAGGAAAGTGCGTCTCTGGCTTTGGTCCTTTCGGGTGCTCTGGAAACACTGGTTCATCACGTAGTTTGTGGTTTGGAAAACGACAGCATTATCGCCTCGGCAGGGGGAGGGTTTTTGACTGTGAGGCCAATGGGAAGCCCTGTGCTGGCTGGGCATGACTGGAGAATGGGATTCACCCAGCCTTTGGTCCAGCCAGGCCGGGCACTTTGCAGCTCCTCATATGGGACACGCCATCTCCCATCGCCGAGCCTTTGTCCCTGGAGTTCTCTCCCTCTCCCTTGTGCTGCTTAGAATCCTCATTTCTCCTCCGAGTTCAGCTCAAAATGCCGCCTCCTATGTGAGACTTGGACCTTGCTGGCGGCTCATGCCCGCCCTCCCTAAAATGCTCCTAGGTGTTTATTTCTTGCTGGCCACACTGTCTCCTCCTGTAGAGCATAAGCTCCTTGAGGGCAGGGACCTGTTGGTCTCATGGGATCCCCAGTGCCTGGCGCAGCCTCTGGAATGCAGTCGGTGCTTAATAAATGCTTGTGGGTGGGTTGAGGCTTGGCACCAGCTCTTGAGTCTCAGGTTTTTACTTGGTGCGGCCTTTGTTCCAGAATGTCTGGGCCCATCAGAATGCCGAGCTGCGTAACTGTCCGAATGGGGCGTTTTGAACGTGGTTTTTGTTTGCCTCCCTAGGCCTTGGCGAATTCCGCCAGGCATCTTCGCCCGTCCCCCTGGGTTGCCCTCAGTGGGGCACGTCCCCCCTCAATGCCGGGCTGGGGTGTCACCCCTGCAGGCCGGGCCTTTCCTCGCGGCTCTCTCCCTCCAGTGCCCAGCATGAAGAGCGCTGTCAGTCACTGAGGCAGTGAGCATGGATTAATCGGGATACAAATACAAGCTTAAAAAACCCATCAATAATAGTAATAACTCACACTTATACTGTGCTCTGCGCGCTTTACAGATCCGCATCATACTCATCTCATGGCAGCCTCTTGAGGTAGATATTAATGATGCCCCTGTTTCACAGATGAGGAATCTGAGTTTCAGAGCAGTTCAGTGATCACACTGCTAGTATATAACTGAATCAAGTTTTGAACCCAGGGCTTCCTGACTCCCAAGTTTAGTGCTCTGTTATGTGAATCTGCTTCCCTTGCTGTAGTGGACAGAGCTCCAGACCTGGGGTCAGGAAGACCCATCTTCCTGAGTTCAGATCTGGCCTCAGATATTGACTAGCTGTTTGACCTTGGGCAAGTCACTTAGCCCTATTTGCCTCAGTTTCCTCATCTGTGAAATGAGCTGGAGAAGGAAATGACAAACCACTCTAGTATCTCTGCCAAGAAAAACCCAAATGGGGTCATGGAGAGTCAGACACGACCGAAAAGAGTGAACCGCAGCAAGCCTCCCCTGCCTTGTGTGAAGCCGACACATGATTGGCAATTGTTGAATTGAATTAAACTTCAGGAAGCTCATTCATCAAAGTGACTCAATCTGACCCGAGTTGACGAACATTTATAAAAAGCCTAGTGGGTGCAGAGCCCTCTCCATAGTGCTGGGGATGCCGAGAATAAGGACACGGCGCCACTCTCCTTGACGTTCTGTTCTCCTGGGAGGACACAACATACGTATAGATAATAAATCAGCAAATACAGGGGGAGAGGGCATCAGCATTGGGAGGATCCAGAAGGTTCTCCTGTGAAAGATGGCGCCTGAGCCAAGCTTGGAAGCCCAGGGAGGATTCTGGGCTAGGGTGGGGGTGGGGGGCGATTGGCGAGCCTCCGATAGAAGGTGGGCTTTGACCTAAGCCTTGAAGGAAGTCAGAACGGCAGAGGGTGGGGGTGGAGGTGAGGAGAGCGAGCTTCGCAGGCACGGGGGCAACCAGGGAGAGTCATAGAATGAGAAGCGGAAGGGTCACGTATGAGGCCCATGTCATTCCGTAATAGAACCTCGGGGGGGAGTCGGTTGTAAGAGGCCTGGAAAGGCCTGCAAGTAATAGGGAACCACTGGAGATTGTTGTATGGGGGGCTTGGGGAATGTGGGCAGACCTGCGCTTTAGGGGGTCACTTTGGCATTTGAGTAGAGAAGGGGCTGGCGTGGGCAGAGACTTGAGGCAGGATGACTAACCAGAGAAGGAAGGGCATATATGCGCCATGGAGTGCAGACAGAAGTGGGGGATGAGAGCTAGGGAGTAGTGAAGGAGGACACTGGGGGACTGGGAAGACGGTGGTACCCCCAATGGTCATGGGAAGCTTGGCAGAAGAGAGGATTTCCAGGGAATGATAACAAATTCCATGTTGGACACTTGGAGTTTGCAGATGTCTCAAGAGCCATGTGTGATGTGATGGAACCAGGAGAGAGCCATGGGCTAGATAGATAGAGCTGGGGAATCATCCATGCAGAGATGATCATTAAACCTGTTAGAGGAGAAGCAGAACAGAGGGAGAAGAGAAGAGGGCCTGGGACAGAGCCCTGGGGGGCACCCACAGTCAGTAGGTTTGACCTGAATGAAGAACCAAGAAAGGAGACTGAGAACCTAGAGAGGAGGCCATACCCCAGGGACCATGATTGTCACGGTCAGAGATTGCAGAAAGGTTAAGAGGAATGGGGACTGAGAAAAGACCCTGACATTGGGCTGCTCAGGAGGGACTGTTGTCCGCTGAATAATGAGACTAGAGGTCAGACTGCAGCCTTAAGGGGGTGGAGGAGGCAGGGTGACCTGGAGGGTATGATTGCTGTATTTCTGGGAGTGTGGTAAGAGGAAGGAAGAGTGGGAGAGAAGGTGTGAACGGGGTCTGCTCACGACTTGTGGACAAGAGATGAGGGAAGGGGGCGAGTCCAGGAAAACTCCCATGTTCTGCACAGAGGAGAGGTCATCGATGGAGGAGCCCGAGGAGGAGAGGTATGGAGAAGGACGATGTCTTTGTCTTTATTTGGTCATTGAGGTGCCTTTGGGGTGGGTTTGTGTGGCGTGCGTGTGTGTAGTGTGGTGTCTGTGTATGGAGAGTATGTGCTTTAGGTAGAGCAGACTGATAGCCAAGAAGACGGTCTGGAGTGGGACTCAGGTTTTGTACTGAAAGGGAGGAGAGAGACAACAAAATGGTGCCCATCTCCAGGGAGGCCCTGTAGGTTGGTGGGCTTCTGGGGAAGAGCAAACCAGGAGCTGTGGAATAAGCAGGAGAGAAAGTGGAAAGGCATTGAAGAGCAGGAGAATGTGCGGATTACCATCATTACTGGGATTAATTAGAGTGGGGAGCCCTCCTCGGACCAGAAGGCAGGAGAGAGCAGCTGGAGCCTCAGCAGTTTGGAAGGGGAGGTCCCATCAGAGGCCTGTCCTCCCACCTCCCTTTGGAGGTCAGGAGTGACCTCCTGGGGCAGTGGGGAGAGTAGGGAATGGGGAGAAAAAGAAGAAGAGAGATCTGGCCCAGATGTTGTAGGGATCGTGTTGTAGGCGGTGGATCTCTTTGGGGTATAGGGGGAGCCCGAGGAGGCCAGGAGGCAGAGTGTGGGAAGGGCAGCAGTTTAGTGTGATAGGTCTGGGAAGGGCATCTGGGGCCAGATGGAGAAGGAGCGAATGAATGAATTGATCAGGTGCTTCCTGTGTTCAAAGGATACACTGAAGGAAGAAAGGCTTGAAGCGGGCAACCAAGAGAGAGCTACTGAACTAGCCCAGGCGAGAGATGATGGAGGCTTTGACTCTAGTGGGAGCCACATGGGGGAAGGGGAGGGGGCAGATTCGAGGATGTGGAAGAAGAAGCCACATGAATTGGCAGATATGGGTGCAAGGAAGAGAGAGGGATTGAGGGTGACTCTCCGGTTGCCCACCTGGGCCGTGGGGGATGATGGGGCTCTTGATAGAAACAGGTGAGTCAGAGTTAGGAAGAGGGACAGGCTTTGGGAAGAGAGGCTGAGCTCTGTTTGGGAGAGGTAGCACACTGGGTGTGAAAAGTCCAGGAGACAGCTGACAGTGCTGGACCCAGGCCAGGGCTGGCCAACACACACGGGAGGAGCAAAAGTTCCCACCCGGAGAGGGCAAAGATTTCGCTGCCTTTTCGAAACCACCAGAGACTCGGGTTTCCAGGTCGCCCAAGTCAGTGTTTGAAAGGGACCCCCGCGAGGTTTTGTTAGTGAAAGGGAAGTCTCAGAAATGGCATCTACCAACTTGTGTCACGTGGATTCCCTTGGAGCTAAGAATGCGTTGAAGCATTGGACTGAGGCTCCACTCGCCTCTACTGTTTGTCCTTCCGTTTATTTTATTGCCTAGTTAACTACCAGGTTAACTAACGTGTAAATTTTCATTAAAACTGCTGCTCGTTTATCAGCCACCCTGACTTTATGCAGCTGCAGCCTTTTATCTATGTGCCCACTTCAGGGTGATTGTTGTGGAGCATCAGGACTCCTGGGTTTTGGGGTCAAAGAAACGGGGGTTCACA